TCAATTAACACTTCACAAAAATTCTGTCTACTAATTGCACTTTAATTTTTAAGATTCGTCCTAATTTTCTATAAATGTCTTCATCATTTAATATTATGAAGACATTAACACACACCAATAATACACATCTATATTTTACATACATATATATTTTATTGTGCAATATTTTACATACATATATATTTTATTGCACAATAAATTTTCAAAAATAATAATTTTTTTATACATAATTATTATACACTCTTTTTTTATTTATTGTGCAATATTTTATTGCTTTGGTATTTATGGTAATTAAATACTTAAATATTTGCATGTATACTTATAATAATTATTAATTTTAAATTTCATTCCATCAAATATAAATATTTATTTTGGCGTTATGTATAATTTCAAAAGATATTAAAGTCACAAGAATATTTTTAYAAAAATAGCTGTTGCAATTTAATGAAATTTTAGAGAGAGAGTTGTTAAATATATCGAAGATTCATAAAACTGCGCTGTAAATAATTGTCATAAAGACAAATGGTTAAAATCAATTTTTTTACTTTACTATTAAAACTAGTATCTTGTTTGTATTTGTATTACTTTTTGCCTCTCTTAGTGAGCTGTCTCTTATACACATCTAGATGTGTATAAGAGACATGTAAGCGATTTTAGGTCACCCTAATATATATATATATGTATATACGGACAATGGTGTGTAACTGTATTGTTTTTGCCTTAAAAGTTCTCCTTCTAATAATCTAATACTTCTTTCTTCTTCGTTTTTCATCTTTTCATACATACAGGTACAAACCCACTTTATGGAAAACAAGACTACCTAAAAACTTCAAAGACGTTAAGATAAGTGAATAATMTAAAAATGGCCATACATACATATTGTTATATTTTAAGATTTAATTTTCGTTTTGTTAAACTAGTAGGGAATGTTTAAACCTCATGAATTTAAACCAAAAAAGATCTAAAACCAAAAAGGTCTAAATATTGAATGCTTATGGAACCGATTTTGTATAGTTAGTATTTGTTTATAAAGCATTATTAATTAGAATACTGAATTTAAACTCAATAATGAAAGATTTACATAGAGCATTTACGGGTTAAGGCATCGCTAGCCTTTTAAGTGCTAGTGCTTTTCTATATAGCTTTGTTACAGGCTTGATAAACAGTTATCTCTTAGCTTTGATTTGCTTGTTTTGTGCATTCGTTTTATTTAATTACTCCTTATAATTTGGATCAAAACTACAATATTAAGAGTTTTCATTTACACGAATTTAACGAAATTTTACAGAATTATATACGCAAAACTTTGGTTACAACAATTTTATAACATTTTATTGATTAAGAATTTTATAATTATAAAATTGTTTAATAAAAAAATTAAAATACTTAGTCCGCATAAAATTYACCTCTTGAATTTGATCCTCTGAAATCAGCATTTTGTTGGGTTTCTTAAACAGTCAAGCAAACTTTGTTAATACTGTGCTTTACACTGCTGAATACATACACAAACAAGCGCGCGCTACTGCCGTTAGTTGTTTTTTATTATTTTCCCAAAATTGTTTTATTTCTGATTTATAAACTTTAATGTCAATTTCAAACACACACATTTAATATTATTAAATTCTTTATTATTAATGTCAATTAACACTTCACAAAAATTCTGTCTACTAATTGCACTTTAATTTTTAAGATTCGTCCTAATTTTCTATAAATGTCTTCATCATTTAATATTGTGAACACATTAACACACACCAATAAAAACCSAGGAAGCCACAACGCACGAAGTGATCACCTCGATTCCCACTTTCCGACTGTCCGTGCTACCGTGTAAAATTTATCAAATCGAATTAAAGCGACAAATTGATGAGTTTTGATATAGACACGAAATCACCCGAGTGATTGCGATGACGATGCTGCGATATCAAAGGTCGTCAATCAACTGAGTGCACTGCAAGATGCACATTATAAAATAACAATCATAAACGCACACAGCCACGCACTCAAGCAGGCAGAAGACACACACAATGAYAGCAATAAATCCACACACACATATACACACRTACGAAAAGGAGATGCAAAGAAGGCAAGCAAACAGGCAGATCSATAGAGCGCACAGACCATTCATCGAAATATCTAAGTGAGGGACAGACATCAAACCCCGAAAAGGTTGAATGGATGCACACGAACATGCATATTCATGTTTATATAAAAATATAGAGAAACGGTAAAGAGCGACACTTCTGGAAAATGACCTGATAATGCGGTATCGGCATGCATAAGCAATAAAAATGAAGGAAGGCCAATTGCGCACAACCCACGGCAAAGGCGGCCACCGCAATGCAGCCGCAGCTGACGTATGCGGCGACTGCGACGGCATAGGTGCCGAAGAAATCAAGCAATGAAGGAAACCTGTTTGCATCACAAGCCAATTGCRTACATGTATGTGTGTGTGTATGTGCGTGATGACCGCGGGAGAGGCGCAGACACGCAGTGAGAGCTGCGACCGCTGCTGCTCTTCAATTCGAATTATTCGATTTTAATTGTGCGAACGAGTGCATGCATGTATGTATGTGTGTGCGTGTGCTTCATTAGTTTATTTGTGGGGAAACGAGCAGCATGTGAGCCAATTCGTGCGATGATATAAGGGTAATAAAATCGAGCGATAGACCAATCAAAATGCGCTGCGGTAGACAGTTGCTCACAAGCAAACGTACATACATACATTTTTATACATCACATAGATATGTATATGCAT